ACTCTGAGTATCTCCATGTTACTTAGTGTTAGTTTGACTCTGAGTATCTCCATGTTACTTAGTGTTAGTTTGACTCTGAGTATCTCCATGTTACTTAGTCTTAGTTTGACTCTGAGTATCTCCATGTTATTTAGTCTTAGTTTGACTCTGAGTATCTCCATGTTACTTAATGAAACCAGATAGAAAGACAATACAGAGAGTCAGGTCGAATGCAAAAGCAGGTTGAAATACAATGGGAGAAACAAATAGAATTGATTGAAGGTCGATTGCATGGTTTCAGGGTGTGGAGGAATGTCTCGTTATCAAAGTCCTTGAACTTGACTGCTAAAGAATGAACCACTTACAGGACAGTGTGTGTGTTTGTGTGTGTTTTTGGTTTTACTCTCCTTGTGAGGACCAGAAGTCCTCAAAAGGATGATAAAACAAGGAATATCCCGACCAGTGGGGACATTTTGCCGGTCCCCACAAGGAAAAAGCTATTTTTGGCTTAGAATTTAGGGTTAGGGTTACAATTAGGGTTAGAATTAGGGGTTAGGGTTAGGGGTTAAGGTTAGGTTAAGGGGTCGTCACTTCCTGTTGAACATTTGGCATCAGTTGCTGGGACTGCTACTCTCTGTCCAGTGATCCTGCCGACCAAGGCCGGGTCTGAGGAGCTATTTGGCGTAGCAGCTAGCCCGCGACACGGTTAGCCATTGTGGCTGAGACCGCGGGTTGTCCCGGGTTTGTGGCTGTCTAGATCCCTGCTGTTTGTTGTGTTCAATCTTCCCTGTGACCTGTCCTGTCTGGAACTGCGAGGAGTAACAGTGTAACCTTAAGTTGCTAGCTTCCATGACAAAGACCAAAGCCGGCGGGAGTACCGTTGAGGACAGTGGTGTCTCTCTATCACAGGTGAAGGATCTTTTAAATGAACAAAAATAGTTCTACAAGCAGTTGTTACAACAACAAGAAAATAGATTAAAGTGAAGAACAGTTTGCAGTTCTCCCAGGGTCAGCTCGATGAGGTGAAACAGGAGAATGCAAGATGACAACAATCTGTAAGTCATTGAGAGAGGACATCAGTTCTGTGTGTGAATCCATGATAACAATGACGGATAAATCTTGAGGGACAATCAAGGCGGAACAACATGGTTGTGGACGGAATTGCAGAATCTCCACGAGACCTGGACGGAGTCTGAGGACAAAGTGAGGGAAATGATCTCTGAGAAATTGAAGATGAACCTCAGGAAGATTGAGATGGAGCGCGCCCACAGGACTGGAAATCCCACCTCCGGCCCAGGTGACAGGCCCAGGCCGATAGTGGTCAAGTTCCTGAGGTTCAAGGACAAGGTAGCTGTTCTGGAAAGAGCCAAGAACTTGACAAGAACGTATATCTTCCTCAACGAGGACTATCCTGAAGCTGTGCGCCAGAAGAGGAAAGAACTTATCCCAGCCATGAAAGCTGCCAGAGCGCGTGGGGACATTGCTTACATCCGCTATGACAGGCTCATTGACCACCCTGCCTCCCAGAAGCCTGGAAGGGATGAGAGAGCCAAGACTAAAATAGCCCATATTAATAAATGTAGCCTTAGAAATAAGGTTAATGAAATCAATAACTTGCTAACATCAGATAACATTCATATATTAGCCATTTCTGAGACTCACTTAGATCATTCATTTGATGATACAGCAGTAGCAATACAAGGATATAACATCTATAGAAGAGACAGAAATGCTTATGGGGGAGATGTTGCTGTATATATTCAGAGCCATATCCCTGTAATGCTTAGAGAAGATCTTATGTCAAGTGTTATTGAAGTGTTGTGGTTGCAGGTTCACTTGGCACATCTTTTGGGGTGTTGCTATAGGCCACCAAGTGCTAAAAGTCAGTATCTAAATAATATGTGTGAAATGCTTAATAGTGTATGTGATGTAAACAGAGAGGTCTACTTTCTTGAGGACCTGAACATTGACTGGTTTTCATCAAGCTGTCCGCTCAAGAGGAAGCTTCTCACTGTAACCAGTGCCTGTAATCTGGTTCAGGTTATTAATCAACCTACCAGGGTGTTTACAAATACTAAAGGAGCAAGATCATCCACATGTCTCGATCACATTTTTCTAATACTGTAGAACTTTGTTCTAAAGCTGTATCCGTAGCCATTGGATGCAGTGATCACAATATTGTGGCTATATCCAGGAAAGCCAAAGCTCCAAAAGCTGGGCCTAAAATAGTGTATAAGAGATCATACAAAATATTTTGCTGTGAATCTTATGTGGATGATGTTAAAAATATTTGTTGGTCTGTTGTGATTAATAAGGAGCATCCAGATGCTGCACTTAATGAATTTATGAAATTGCTTCTTCCAATTATTGATAAACATGCACCTGTTAAGAAACTGACTGTTAGAACTGTTAAGGCTCCATGGATTGATGAGGAATTGAAAAACTTTAAGGTTGAAAGAGATGGGGCAAAAGGAGTGGCTAATAAGTCTGGCTGCACATTTAACTGGCTGACTTACTGCAAATTGAGAAATTATGTGACAAAAAAATAAAAAATAAATAAAAACTGTATTATGAAGCCAAGATCAGTGATATAAATAATTATGGAAAAGGGTTTGGAGTACTTTAAATGAAATTATGGGCAGAAAGACAAATTCAACACCATCTTTTATCGAATCAGATGGCTTTTCAACACAAAACCATTTGGTGTTGCCAATTATTTTAATGATAATTTGATTGGCAAAGTGGGCAAACTTAGAACAGTGAGCCATCGTATTCATGCATGAAAAATAAATAATGAAAAAAAAGCATTGCAAGTTTGAATTTTGTAAAGTTAATGTGGGAGAGGTGGAAAACCTCCTGTCATTGACAACTTAGATGCAAAGCTACTGTGGATGGTAGCTGACTCTATAGCCACTCCTATCTGTCATATCTTTAAGCTGAGCCTAGAGGAAAGTATTTGTCCTCAGGCCTGAAGGGAAGCCAAAGTAATTCTGCTACCCAAGAGTGATAACGTGGCCTTTACGGGTTCTAACAGCAGACCTATAAGCTTGCTGCCAGCACTTAGCAAACTGTTGGAAAAAATGGTGTTTGACCAAATACAATGCTATTTCTCTGTAAATAAATATTGACCATAACCTGTTGTTGAAAAAACACGTGTTATGGCTTTTCAACCTCTACCATATCGTGGATTCAGAGCTATCTAATAGACCTCAAAGGGTTTTCTTTAATGGAAGCCTCTCTAATGTCAAACATGTAGGGTGTGGTGTACCGCAGGGCAGCTCTCTAGGCCCTCTATTCTTTTATATTTTTACCAATGACCTGCCACTGGCATTAAACAAAGCATATGTGTCCATGTATTCTGATGATTCAACCATATACGCATTAGCAACCACAGCTAATGAAATCACTGAAACCCTTAACAAAGAGTTGCAGTCTGTTTTGGAATGGGTGGCCAGTAATGAACTGGTCCTGAACATAAGAGCATTGTATTTGGTACAAATCATTCCCTAAGTTCTAGACCTAAGCTGAATCTGGTAATGAATGGTGTGGCTGTTGAACCAAGTTGAGGAGACTAAATTACTTGGCGTTACCTTAGATTGTAAACTGTCATGGTCAAACCATATAGAGTCAATGGTTGTAAAGATGTGGAGAGGTCTGTCTGTAATAAAGAGATGTTCTGCTTTTTTGACATCGCATTCCAAAAAGCAAGTCCTGTAGGCTCTAGTTTTGTTTTATCTTGATTATTGTCCAGTCGTGTTGTCGAGTGCTGCAAGGAAAGACCTAGTTAAGCTGCAGCTGGCCCAGAACAGAGCGGCACGTCTTGCTCTTCATTGTAATAAGAGGGCTAATATAAATACTATGCAGCCCGTCTCTCTCGGCTAAGAGTTGAGGAGAGACTGACTGCATCACTTCTTCTTTTTATAACAAACAATGTGTTGAAAATCCCAAATTGTTTGCATAGTCAACTTACCCTTCGAACACACCGACTGTGTCATTGCGTTTTGGTACACCAGAATTACTTTCATTTCCAATGGAACGCTGCGTTTGCCTTGCAGCATTACAGAGGCAGTTGCAGTGCGTTCTGTGTGGTACATATGTTGGATTTATCAAACGTATGCGTCAAACTGTATGTGTAAACGGTTTGCTGTAAATGGTAGCAGAAGGTGAATGTTTAACTTTTGTTGCACACATATCTAGATTATTTGATATGATATTTTGCGCAATGACGCAGTCGGTGCGTTCAAAGCGTTACACACAGCTCTGACACACACACTTACCCCACCAGACATGCCACCAGGGGTCTTTTAACAGTCAAAAAATCCAGAACAAATTCAAGAAAGCGTACAGTATTATATAGAGCCATTATTGCATGGAACTCCGTTCCATCTCATATTGCTGAAATGAACATCAAACCTGGTTTCAAAAAACATATAAAGCAACACCTCACGGCACAACACCTCTCCCCTATTTTACCTAGATAGTTTGTGTGTATGTATTGATATGTAGGCTATGTGTGCCTTTTTTAATGAATTTCTGTATTGATGTAGTTCTGTCATTGAGATGTTCTTGTCTATTAATATTCTGTATTAGGATAGTAAAATAAACGTGTGTGTATGTGTATGTGTGTGTGTGTGTGTGTGTGCGCGTGCGTGTTTAAACTTACCCTGGGTCCTGTTTTCTCCATATAGCCCTCCTTCAGAAAGTTGCGGGTCAATTTGGGCATCAGCTGAAAAATATGATTAAATACAGAGTGATGTTGTGTGTGTACTTGTATGCGTCCGTGTGTGTGTGTGTGTGTGTGTGTACTCACCTCTGCATCATTAGCCCCTGGGAAAGCCACCTTTAGATAGTGCAGCTGGATGGCCCTTATAGAGTTGAACCAGTCTACTATCTCCTAATGGAGGGATGGAGAGAGAAAGAGAGGGAAAGAGAAATAGAGAGAGGGGGGAGGAGTGAGCTACCTTGCTGAATTGATCCATACACATCCATATACAGTGACAGACACACCCCCACACAGCTACCTTGCCGTTGTCGTGGTAGAGGAAGATGTTTCTGGTGATGTAGTCTTTTAGGTAGGTGATCTGTAGTCCGTTGGGGTTACCTATCTTCTCTGGCTGGAAGGCTGCGTTGATAGAGTCCACCTTGATCACGGCTTTAGGCTCCTTGGCCTGGAGAGAGGGGAGGGAGAGAGAGTTAGGGGAGGTGAGAGGGGAATGGAAAGGAGGTTAGAGGGGTGGTGGAGGGACGTTGGAGGGGTAGGGTGGCAGGTAAGGTGTGGATGGGAGGCTGAAGGGGGTGGAGGGACGTTGGAGGGGTAGGGTGGCAGGTAAGGTGTGGATGGGAGGCTGAAGGGGGTGGAGGTAAGGGGGAGAGATGGGTAGGGTGGCAGGTAAGGTGTGGATGGGAGGCTGAAGGGGGTGGAGGTAAGGGGGAGAGATGGGTAGGGTGCACCCAGAAACTCTCCAGGAGGGTTGTCCACCCCTGGTCTAGGTTTTAGGTGGAGGAGCTGCACATCTTTGTTGACACAAGCACGGACTTAGCATATTATGAATAATACAACTTTGCCAACAGTAGTTACTGTAAATGCCAAGGACTCAGTGGAGGGTTGAATTAGCACTTTAGAAGGGGAACACATGAGCTCCAACATCTTAAGTGAAACGCACACAGGAGTATCTTAGACAAGTTGGCTGAATCCCCTTTCAAATCCCCAGGAGGCATACCTGGACATCAGATACACTTCAGCACTCTCCAAGTGAAACCAATTTGTAGGCTTACATGACAACTACAACTAAACACTGTGTAAGTAGGCATTGCCTTCCCCAGGCAATCGACTCAACTCACAGTAGCACCCACACTGCAACACAAACACTCACTCGCTCGCACATTCACACTCAATCCCCTTTCACTGTCGTAAAATGCAAAGTGAAATACTTTCTGGAGGCCAAAAGAGTTAGGTATTAGACACAGAGTTATTTAACAAAGTTTAATGTGACAACTTTAGCACAGGGATTTGTCTCTAATTGGTTTAATACTGTTAAACTGTGACACAGCGTTGGCAGGTTTCAGTAGCAAAGACACACAAGGAGAGAGAGAGAGAGAGAGAGAGAGAGAGAGAGAGAGAGAGAGAGAGAGAGAGAGACAGAGAGAGAGAGACACAGTGGTTTGATGAAGATGGTTTGATGGTTTGATGAAGAATGGTTTGATGAAGAATGCAAAAACCTAAGAAAGAAATTGAGAAACCTATCCAACCAAAAACATAGAGACCCAGAAAACCTGAGCCTACGCCTTCACTATGGTGAATCACTAAAACAATACAGAAATACACTACGAAAAAAGAAGGAACAGCATGTCAGAAATCAGCTCAATGTAATTGAAGAATCCATAGACTCTAACCACTTCTGGGAAAATTGGAAAACACTAAACAAACAACAACACGAAGAGCTATCTATCCAAAACGGAGATGTATGGGTAAACCACTTCTCCAATCTTTTTGGCCCTATAACAGAGAACAAACAGCAAAAAAATATACATGATCAAATGCAAATCTTAGAATCAACTATTAAAGACTACCAGAACCCACTGGATTCTCCAATTACATTGAATGAACTACAGGACAAAATACAAACCCTCCAACCCAAAAAGTCCTGTGGTGTTGATGGTATCCTCAATGAAATGATAAAATATACAGACCCCAAATTTCAATTAGCTATACTTAAACTCTTTAACATCATCCTTAGCTCTGGCATTTTCCCCAATATTTGGAACCAAGGACTGATCACCCCAATCCACAAAAGTGGAGACAAATTTGACCCCAATAACTACCGTGGGATATGCGTCAACAGCAACCTTGGGAAAATCCTTTGCATTATCATTAACAGCAGACTAGTTCATTTCCTCAGTGAAAACAATGTACTGAGCAAATATCAAATTGGCTTTTTACCAAATTACCGTACGACAGACCACGTATTCACCCTGCACACCCTAATTGACAAACAAACAAACCAAAACAAAGGCAAAGTCTTCTCATGCTTTGTTGATTTCAAAAAAGCTTTTGACTCAATTTGGCATGAGGGTCTGCTATACAAATTGATGGAAAGTGGGGTTGGGGGAAAAACATACGACATTATAAAATCCATGTACACAAACAACAAGTGTGCGGTTAAAATTGGCAAAAAACACACACATTTCTTTCCACAGGGCCGTGGGGTGAGACAGGGATGCAGTTTAAGCCCCACCCTCTTCAACATATATATCAATGAATTGGCGAGGGCACTAGAACAGTCTGCAGCACCCGGCCTCACCCTACTAGAATCTGAAGTCAAATGTCTTCTGTTTGCTGATGATCTGGTGCTTCTGTCACCAACCAAGGAGGGCCTACAGCAGCACCTAGATCTTCTGCACAGATTCTGTCAGACCTGGGCCCTGACAGTAAATCTCAGTAAGACAAAAATAATGGTGTTCCAAAAAAGGTCCAGTTGCCAGGACCACAAATACAAATTCCATCTAGACACCGTTGCCCTAGAGCACACAAAAAACTATACATACCTCGGCCTAAACATCAGCGCCACAGGTAACTTCCACAAAGCTGTGAACGATCTGAGAGACAAGGCAAGAAGGGCCTTCTATGCCATCAAAAGGAACATAAAATTTGACATACCAATTAGGATCTGGCTAAAAATACTTGAATCAGTTATAGAACCCATTGCCCTTTATGGTTCTGAGGTCTGGGGTCCGCTCACCAACCAATAATTCACAAAATGGGACAAACACCAAATTGAGACTCTGCATGCAGAATTCTGCAAAAACATCCTCCGTGTACAACGTAAAACACCAAATAATGCATGCAGAGCAGAATTAGGCCAATACCCGCTAATTATCAAAATCCAGAAAAGAGCCGTTAAATTCTATAACCACTTAAAAGGAAGCGATTCCCAAACCTTCCATAACAAAGCCATCACCTACAGAGAGATGAACTTGGAGAAGAGTCCCCTAAGTAAGCTTGTCCTGGGCCTCTGTTCACAAACACAGACCCCACACAGCCCCAGGACAACAACAACAACCACAACACAATTAGACCCAACCAAATCATGAGAAAACAAAAAGAGAATTACTTGACACATTGGAAAGAACAAACAAAAAAACACAGCAAACTAGAATGCTATTTGGCCCTAAACAGAGAGTACACAGTGGCAGAATACCTGACCACTGTGACTGACCCAAACTTAAGGAAAGCTTTGACTATGTACAGACTCAGTGAGCATAGCCTTGCTATTGAGAAAGGCCGCCGTAGGCAGACCTGGCTCTCAAGAGAAGACAGGCTATGTGCACACTGCCCACAAAATGAGGTGGAAACTGAGCTGCACTTCCTAACCTCCTGCCAAATGTATGACCATATTAGAGACACATATTTCCCTCAGATTACAGCGATCCACAAAGAATTCGAAAACAAACCCAATTTTGATAAACTGCCTTATCTACTGGGTGAAAAACCACAGTGTGCCATCACAGCTGCACGATTTGTGACCTGTTGCCACAAGAAAAGGGCAACCAGTGAAGAACAAACACCATTGTAAATACAACCCATATTTATGTTTATTTATTTTCCCATTTGTACTTTAACTATTTGCACATTGTTACAACACTGTATATATACATAATATGACATTTGAAATGTCTTTATTCTTTTGAAACTTCTGAGTGTAATGTTTACTGTTAATATTTATTGTTTATTTCACTTTTGTTTACTATCTACTTCCCTTGCTTTGGCAATGTTAACACACGTTTCCCATGCCAATAAAGCCCTTAAATTGAAATTGAATTGAATTGAGACAGAGACAGAGACAGAGACAGAGACAGAGACAGAGAGAGACAGAGACAGAGACAGAGACAGAGACAGAGAGAGAGAGAGAGAGAGAGAGAGAGAGAGAGAGAGAGAGAGAGAGAGAGAGAGAGAGAGAGTTGTTTATTGTCTGAACTTGCTGTATTGTAACGTGGCAGATCTTCCTGTGACTCATTGGTTAGGAAAGTGTGTGTTGTGTGTGTTGTGTGTGTGTGCCCAACAGGGTAGGGCAGGCTGCAGAATAATATCAAAGCTAAAAGTGTTTGTCTCAGTATTTGTATGATTATATGTTGAAGGGAGAGTGTGTGAGAGGGAGACAGCAGTAAATAGTCTGACTTACATCATACTTGGTGAAGTACTTCAGTGTCCCCTCTCTTTCTGAGAGAACAAATCGTCGGTTGAGGAACTGGCCGTTGTCCCGCCCCCTTTTCATCAACATTCCATCCCTCGTTCCTGTCAGTGACACAGTGACAAGCTTTTCATCAGTGCATGTCTGTGTGTGTGTGCGTGCATGCATGTTTGCATGCGTATGTGTGTGTGTATGTGAGCATGAGAGTGTGTGTGTTTGCGTAATATGTGTGTCCTCACCCTCCTCATAGGTCAGTTTCTTCCCTTCGCCTGTAAACTCTTTCCTCTCATACTTCGCTCTGATCCACTGCTCCCTCAGGACCCTGGACACACGCACACACACACACACACACACACACACACACACACACACACACACACACACACACACACACACACACACACACACACACACACACACACACAATTAGAAACCAGGAAAACATCTCAAAATCAAAATATATGAAATCTCTACACAAAACGTATATTAACTAATTATTGTCATTGTGACAACAGCAGAACAGAGTGTGTTATAGTGAGTGTTTTTGTGAGTGTTATAGTGAGTGTTATAGTGAGTGTTATAGTGAGTGTTACAGTGAGTGTTATAGTGAGTGTTATAGTGAGTGTTACAGTGAGTGTTACAGTGAGTGTTATAGTGAGTGTTATAGTGAGTGTTACAGTGAGTGTTACAGTGAGTGTTACAGTGAGTGTTTTAGTGAGTGTTTTAGTGAGTGTTTTAGTGAGTGTTACAGTGAGTGTTACAGTGAGTGTTATAGTGAGTGTTATAGTGAGTGTTACAGTGAGTGTTACAGTGAGTGTTACAGTGAGTGTTTTAGTGAGTGTTTTAGTGAGTGTTATAGTGAGTGTTTTAGTGAGTGGTATAGTGAGTGTTATAGTGAGTGTTATAGTGAGTGTTATAGTGAGTGTTATAGTGAGTGTTACAGTGAGTGTTACAGTGAGTGTTATAGTGAGTGTTACAGTGAGTGTTACAGTGAGTGTTACAGTGAGTGTTACAGTGAGTGTTATAGTGAGTGTTTTAGTGAGTGTTATAGTGAGTGTTACAGTGAGTGTTATAGTGAGTGTTATAGTGAGTGTTTTAGTGAGTGTTTTAGTGAGTGTTTGTAAGTTCTCAAAGAGGAAAGAGGCTAGAACAGATACTCTCTGTAGGACAGGTGTAGGACAGATACTCTCTGTAGGACAGGTGTAGAACAGATACTCTCTGTAGGACAGGTGTCGAACAGATACTCTCTGTAGGACAGGTGTCGAACAGATACTCTCTGTAGGACAGGTGTCGAACAGATACTCTCTGTAGGACAGGTGTCGAACAGATACTCTCTGTAGGCCAGGTGTAGGACAGATACTCTCTGTAGGCCAGGTGTAGGACAGATACTCTCTGTAGGACAGGTGTAGAACAGATACTCTCTGTAGGACAGGTGTAGAACAGTGGTAACTAAGCTTAGCTCTGACCTCTACACCTGTTTCTCCGTGGAGCTGCTTTAAACACAGGGATCATGTGAATCATGTGATCATTGTGAATAGTGTGTTGTGTGTGTGGTCTGTGTGTGTAGAGAGAGAGAGTGTCTGTGTGTGCGTGGATGTCTGTTTGTGTGTGTGTTTGTGTGTCCTTCCTAAGAGCTGCCTAATTGTCCCCTTCCAGCAGACAGAGAGATACAAGGGTTTCTCTAAACCTCTGAACTGAGAGAGAGAGAGAGAGAGAGAGAGAGAGAGAGAGAGAGCGAGAGAGCGAGAGAGAGAGAGAGAGAGAGAGAGAGCAGTACAACATGGTCAGGCCTTAACTCTCTCTCTCTCTCTTCCTTCCCCTTACATCTCTCTCTCTCTCTCTCTCTCTCTCAGCTTGCTCTTTTATATCCACCACTCTCATGAGACTGATTCTACAAGAGCTGTTTATTTCAGACGTTTGAAAAGGTCCTGAGGACGTTGATATATGCCTTCCTCGGTGCTCACCAAAAAAACAGCAGCACAGCCCTGGGCTTGAACTCATGAGGCTCAGAACCAGAGCACGCTACTTAGACCACTGCACCACAGCAGTTCACAATGCTCTAGCAAGCAGGGAGGGTACTTTATGATACTTGACGGAAACAGCGCATTATTTTGTTTTAAAACCTCTACTGGATCAGTGTTTCCTGAAATCGGGACAGTTGTTGCTCAATATGTGATATTTGACTAGAATGGCGTTGTAAACAACAGCCAACTTCCCGGGACATAGACATGTCTTATATCGTCAAAAAGCTTAAATGATTGTTAATCTAACTGCAGTGTCCAATTTACAGTAGCTATTACAGCAACAAAAAGACCATGCTATTGTTTGAGGATAGGCACAACAACAAAACACTTTTATCAAGGCAACTGGTTTGATACATTCACCTTTAATGGTAAATTACTGTACTTACATTTAGTAATCTTGCTCTGATTTGTCATCCTGAGGGTCCCAGAGATAAAATGTAGCACGATCCATGTTGTATACAGCGTTTTGCATGAATTCCGACTCTTTCAACAAAACCATTTATGAAATCTAATCGGCAAAACTTTGCTTAACCCGGTCAAGTTCGGTTTCTGTGCAATCCTCAGACACTCTAGAAGGCAACCAAACATGTTTCAACATTCTACATTACGTATTGGCTACACAACACGTCAATTAGCCCATGAAGGTCAGCCATCATTACGCACCAATGAGACGAGAGGTGTTCACTTGATTGACAGTGTCTTGGTCCAATGACCACCTATCGTTTTGTGAGCAACCGTGTTCATTCTCAGGGGGAAAGAAAACAGGAAGAACTGTAGTTTACGTTACGCAGCGGTTCATTCTCGTCTACAAACTTTTCTAAAAACTGAAAAAGTAAAACATGGCTACTAAGAGTGGAAAAGCTAAATCGAAGTCCAAGTAGACAAATTTGGATGAGATTATTGCAGAAATTGACCGGGAGAGGACTCTGAGTGAGCACAGTTTTGATTCAGTAAGTAAAATACATTTTTGCTTCTCATGCTAATGCAGTTGTTTAAATGGTTGCATATTCATTTTAGATATTTTTATTTGATTTCTATATATATATATATATATATATATATATATATATATATACAGTACCAGTCAAAAGTTTGGACACACCCACTCATTCAAGGGTTTTTCAAATCTTCTGTATACACCCCCTACCTTGTCACAACACAACTGATTGGCTCAAACGCATTAAGAAGGAAAGAAATTCCACAAATTAACTTTTAAGAAGGCACACCTGTTAATTGAAATGCATTCCAGGTGACTTCTCATGAAGATGGTTGAGAGAATGCCAAGAGTGTGCAAAGCTATCATCAAGGCAAAGGGTGGCTATTTGAAGAATCTCAAATATAAAATATATTGTAGTAACTTTTTTGGTTACTACATGATTCCATATGTGTTATTTCATAGTTTTGATGTCTTCACTATTATTCTACAATGTAGAAAATAGTAAAAATAAAGAAAAAACAACTGGAACGAATAGGTGTGTCCAAACTTTTGACTGGTACTGTATGTTTTTTTGTTTGTTTGATCTTTTACCAGATCTATTGTGTTATGTTCTCCTACATTCATTTCACATCTCCACCAACTTCAAAGTGTTTCCTTTTAAATAGTATCAAGAATATGCATATCCTTGCTTTAGGTCCTGAGCTACAGGCAGTTAGATTTGGGTATGTCATTTTAGGTGGAAATTGAGATGAAGGGTCCTATCCAGAAGAGGTTGTTTTAAGCCTTCCCCAAACCATAGCCCCAAACTTAACCACTCAGAATGAATACCTAAACTTAACCCTTTGAGTTGTTTCTGTTTTAACCCTGTAACCACACGGAATTAATGGGTAAAACATTGACGTTCATCCATATTACTGCAAATTCCGAAGTGAAACTATGAGATCAGGTTGGATTCTATCACCCCAGTGTGTGTGTGTGTGTGTGTGTGTGTGTGTGTGTGTGTGTGTGTGTGTGTGTGTGTGTGTGTGTGTGTGCGAGTGTAATATGTGACATTTGGCAGCAAGGAAAATGTGAAGTGGTCATTAACATTAGAGCTGGGATCAGTGTACAGCTACACAGACAAAGAGAAGCGCTCTCCCTCTTTCCTCTCTCTCTCTCTCTCTCGCTCCTCCTCCCTCCATCTCTCCAGACACAACCGCCCATGTCAAGTACTGCAATCAGACTGACTCCATAATAACCAGATGGGAGGTCGGTGCGTTTATGCGTGTGTGTGCGCATGTGTGTGTGTGTCTGTGTGTGTCCACGCTGAGTGCTGTCTGATGACTGCTGGGAAACACTGATGAAAGGATTAGCGTTGCTGATTACGTGATGAAGATGAGACGATAGTGAGGCGAAACTGTCACGAATCGTCGGGAAGAGAGGACCAAGGCGCAGCGTGAAAGGTGAACATATTTATTAAATAATGATAACACGAACAAAAACAACAAACGATAACGTGACGTCCTCGGTCTAGCACAAACCACACTGGAACAAGATCCCACAAACACTGTGGGAAAACTGGCTGCTTAAGTATGGTTCCCAATCAGAGACAACAAGCAACAGCTGATACACGTTGCCTCTGATTGAGAACCACACTGGCCAACATAGAAATACAAAACTAGAACAAAAACAAATGAAAACTCACACCCTGGCTCAACATACTAGAGTCCCCAGAGCCAGGGCGTGACAGTACCCCCCCCCAAAGGCGCGGACTCCGGCCGCGCCAACCAAACACCACAGGGGAGGGACCGGGTGGGCACTCCGCCTTGGCGGCGGATCCGGCTCCGAACATGATTCCCACTCCAACCCGCCAAAGTACCCCTGGTCCGGTCTGACCCTGCTGGCCGGAGCTGGACTGAACACCGGTGGAGCGGATTGCTCTATCTCCGACGTGGAGCAGCTGACCGGTGCCGGACCAGGCACCGGTGGAACAGGCACGGGCTGTGCCGGACTGACGACGCACACCACAGGCTTGGTGTGGGAGGCAGGAACAGGCCGAACCGGGCTGACGATGCGCACCATAGGCTTGGTGCGTGGAGCAGGAACAGGCCGGGCCGGGCTGACGACGCGCACCATAGGCTTGGTGCTTGGAGCAGGAACAGGCCGGGCCGGGCTGACGACGCGCACCACAGGCTCGATGCGAGGAACAGGAACAGGCCGGACCGTACTGGGGACACACACCACTGGCCCTACGCAGGGATCAGGAACGGGCCGGACCGGTAACACACCCCAGTACCTCTCGCCGTGCCTCTACACTTTCCCTCTCCTCTGTGACCAGTGGCCCCCTTAACCTGGCGGCCTCCTCTGCAACCCCGCTGGACCGCTCTATAGCGGCCTCCTGCTGCCCCGTCGTCCACGGCGTGAGCCCCCCCCTAAAAAATTTCTGGGGGTCTCTCCTCCCCGTGGGCCAGGCCCAGCCGAGGTTGATGTCCCTTAGCGATACCTCTGGCGCTGGCTCCTGGACACGCTGCTTGCTCCAGTGTTGGTGGGATCTTCTGTCACGAATCGGCGGGAAGAGAGGACCAAGGCGCAGCGTGAAAGGTGAACATATTTATTAAATAATGATAACACGAACAAAAACGATAACGTGACGTCCTCGGTCTAGCACAAACCACACTGGAACAAGATCCCACAAACACTGCGGGAAAACTGGCTGCTTAAGTATGGTTCCCAATCAGAGACAACAAGCAACAGCTGATACACGTTGCCTCTGATTGAGAACCACACTGGCCAACATAGAAATACAAAACTAGAACAAAAACAAATGAAAACTCACACCCTGGCTCAACATACTAGAGTCCCCAGAGCCAGGGCGTGACAGAAACGATGAGACAAGCCATTGATCCTAGCATGAGATAAACACTTGACAGTCAACAACACACGGCAAGCATACAAACAAACCATCAAACACACAGAAAACATCAAGTATCTCTGACGTTAATTAAAACATAACATAAGGATTTAAGATAGTTCCGTGATTACCTGCCACATAACAGCGGAGAACGTTTTTTCTCTCAACCCTGTTGTTATGATGAGAAAGGGGCCAAAACAATAAACACACTAACACCTAAGACTGTTATCTCACTATTTCTCAGACCTTACAGAGAGAGAGAGAGGAGACGAGAGAGAGAGAGGAGCAGAGAGAGAGAGAGAGCAGGAGCAGAGAAGAGAGCAGAGAGACGAGAGGACGGACAGATAATGAGAGAGAGAGAGAGAGAGAGAATGAGAGGAGAGAGAAAGAGAGAGAGAGATAAAGCGGAGAGAGAGAGAATGAGAGAGAGCAAAGAGAAGAGAGATAAGGAGAGAGAGAATAGAGAGAGCGAATGAGAGAGAGGAGAACGGACTGAGAGCGAGAGAGAGAATGAGAGAGGAGAGGAATGAGAAGAGAGAGAGAAGAGAGAGAAGAAGAGAATGAGAGGGGGTGAGAGAGGAGAATGAGAGAGAGAAGAGAGAGAGAGTAGAGAAATGAGAGAGAGAGCATGAGAGAGAGATAGAGATGAGAGAGGAGAATGAGAGAGAATGAGAGAGAGAGAGAGAGATAGAGAATGAGAGAGAGAGAGAATGAGAGAGAATGAGAGAGAGAGAAATAGACAGATAGAGAAAGCGAGGAAATAGTTGAACTAATGAACAAGGAAACATATCCTATGACTAGTCTAAAACACATGACTGAAACTCGATGATTCCTCTATTCTACACATTAAACATTATAGGATATCAAGTTATGATCTTATTATGGATCATATTATAAGGTTATACCCAGCCGTATATAATTCCATGGGCAAAGTGCACTTCATCCTAATGTCTTTCTAATGGTTTTATCATGATAGAGAATAGACAGTGTGTGTGTGTGTGTGTGTGTGTGTGTGTGTGTGTGTGTGTGTGTGTGTGTGCATGTGTTCCTTTCAGTATCCTGCCTTAGCCAGTGCCTCTTTGCCATGAGTCCCCAAAAATATCCCCCTCATCACAATGTCATTATTACAATGGTCACGTTGCCATGGTCACCACACACACACGCACGCACAGACACACTTACTGGCAGTCTTTGTGGGTAGGTTTGTAGTAGTAGACAGGAACCACCGCCTCATATTTATGCTTCATCAATCCGTTCCCGTTCTCCGCCATGAACTGTAACACACCCACCCAAACGCAAAGAAAGAGAGAAGTTGAGAGAGACAGAACAGAGGGGCGGGTGAGTCATGATTGCATGTGTCATACCATGTATCAGCTAGACACAGACAATTCCAACTTTTGAGTGGATTGTTTTGAATGTGATATATGCAGCATAACCATTCATTTGCTATAGGATAATGCCCTATTCTTCAGACAGAGGATGGATGGAACAAAGCCTGTCTGAAAACATTTCATATTCATATAAAGTTCATCACTGAGTTATGACTCAGTCATAAATGACTATGTACAGTCATGGATTCAGATCTGGGATGACTATGTACAGTCATGGATTCAGACCTGGGATGACTCTATCGGTCTGTTACGTCAGGCAAGCTCGATCAAGCACAGATAAAGTATTTGAAATTATTTAAAATAGTATTGAACCCAGAGCTGATTGGATTTGAAGAAATGTATGTTAGCAAATATTCCCGTTTTGGGGAATTTTGGAAAGCAGCTCACCTCTACTTCCTGGTCTTCCCAGCGGGAGAGGCTGAGGGATTTCACCTTCATTCCGATGTCAGGAATATTCCTGTGGATCCCGGAACATTGAACACAGATGAACACTCCTAGGGAACAGGAGCCCCAACTAGGATCTGATGGATGGATGGATGGAGGCAAGGAGGGAGAGAGATGAAGAGGAAGAACAGAGTACAACAGAGAGAGGCATGTGGTTTCATTGGGAGTTTGTTGTACTAGATCAAATGGAAAACCTTTAGAAAAATCTACATTTCACATAGAAACGATTGGAATGCTTGCTTTGACCTTTGTCCTCTTGAGCAAGGAGCAGATTTTCTGTAAATATCCAATAATAAGGTGTCTAAGATGTACAACTACACTACTGTTCAATAGTTTGGGGTCACTTAGAATTGTCCTTGTTTTCGAAAGAAAAGCATTTTTTTTGTCCATTAAAATAACATCAAATTGATCAGAAATACAGTGTAGACATTGTTAATGTTGTAAATGGCTATTGTAGCTGGAAACGGCTGATTTTTAATGGAAAATCTACATAGGCGTACAGAGGCCCATTATCAGTAACCATCAGTCCTTTGTTCCAATGGCACGTTGTGTTTGCTAATCCAAGTTTATCATTTTAAAAGGCTAATTGATCATTAGAAAACCCTTTATGTTAGCACAGCTGAAAACTGTTGTGCTGTTTAAATAAGCAATAAAACTGGCCTTCTTGAGACTAGTTGAGTATCTGGAGCATCAGCAATTGTGGGTTCGATTACAGGCTCAAAATGGCCAGAAACAAATAACTTTCTTCTGAAAACAAGGAAATGTCTAAGTGACCCCAAACGGTAGTGAACGGTAGTGTACATACCACACTACAACTCAGTACAACGTGAGGGACCACATAACTTCAGAGCAGATATGCAGGCAGTCAGGGAAGAGAAACCTTTATCTTGCTTTAACATTTCTACTGAATGTCTCCCCTCGCCCTCGATTGGCTCATGCCTGTGTTTACTTTAGCTTGACCACACCTATCATATCTACCTGACACACACTGGTGTAGGGCCAGCTACCAACCCACGGAGTGTGTGTGTGTGTGTGTGTGTGTGTGTATCTTTAACCTTCTACACTGTCTTATCTCCTATGACAACCTCAGTCAGTGTGACAAAAGGTGGGCCTGTAGGCCACATAAGAATCCCTGCATTGTTCTACATTCCGCAGTAGGCCTGGGTCTAGAGGCCTATTCTGTTGTAAATTATCTAGTAGCCTACAGTAGTGTTACGCTACAGAATGGCTTACTGTTGAATCACATCATCATCAGAATGGAATTCCCTTTCAAATCAAACTTAGTTTAATTCTGATAATGACATGATAATATCTGGAGTCCTGAGTAGGCATGTTTCAAATCTAGATGTGCCTGAATAACCAACACTCATTTCAAACTGTGGGGGAAAAGATTTTGTAAAAAGATTTTAATCTACTTAAAAATGCATGGTATTGCCCCGTGTATTGGTACCTTTAGGTACTAAACTGGCCTATTCCCCATACATAAATGAGATTGTATGAGTGACTTCAAGAGTGATTTGGAAGATGATATGCCAATATTAATTTATTAGTCTAGTCAGTACATGTTTTGTCTAGGGACTACTGTAGTATCCAGCATCTGCCCAGCATCCGAAACACTCCATTCTTCTATCCCCATGCCATAAGAATGCTAAATAGCTAACTAAATAGCTAACAAAATGGCTACACAGACTATCTGAGTTGACCTTTGTATTTTATTCTTATTTTTGCACTGTCTCTATGCACACTCACAGGACCCTACCCACTACACACACTGATACTCAAACACACACACAAACACTCACTATCATTTGCTCACACACACATTTATACTGACTACACACACCCACTCACATACAATAATATACGCTGCTGCTACTCTGTTAATCATATATCCTGATGCCTAGTCACCTTTCCCCTATACATACAGTATCTACCTCTTATCGATCCAGTATCCCTGCACATTGTAAATATGGTACTGGAACTGACCCTGTATATAGTATGCTTACTTTATCGTGTTTTTCTTATTTATGTTGTGTGTTTTTGTTCTACCTTGTTATTTTTAGTATTACATTGTTATTGATTACTGCATAGTTGGGGTTAGAGCTAGCAAGAAATGCCTTTCACTGTACTTGCGCATGTGACATTAAAACTTAAAAACTTGTTCAATACAAGATATAGACTGGTCTCATAGACTAGACGTAAATCCGGGACACTCAAATTAGTATGATATGTTACATTTGGTATGGTTACATAACAAAGGGAGTGTTGCTGGTTGGTTGGGGTGGATGGGTAAGTGTATAACGCGAAAGTCTAGCAACTCAAAGGTTGCATGTTCGAATCTCATCACGGAGATAAACCTAACCCTTTTAGCTAACCCTAACCTTTAACCTAATTCCTAATCAGGGCTGGTCCTGGCCATTCTACTGCCCAAGGCAAGACAAAAACAATTCTGCACCTACTAGAATAGTCCCAGTAAGCAAAATTATGTTGAAAAGACATCCAAAATCTGTATTTTCCAGATGTTTATTTTTTATTGGTCATTTAGCAGTTGCTCTTATCCAGAGCGCCTTACAGGAGCAATTAGGTTTAAGTGCCTTGCTCAAGGGCCTTTCACCTAGACAGCTCAGGGATTAGAACCAGCGACCTTTCAGTTACTAGTACAACACTCTTAACCACTAAGCTACCTGCCACCCTAGGTTCAATTCAAATTCTGAATGAAAGGTGAAAAGACGTATGTTAAAATCAGGTTCATTTTCAGTTCTGAATGAAGTTAGAAAATACGTATTTTCCGGACGTTGAAAATACATATTTTCCAGACGTTGAAATCAGGTTAATTTTCGGTTCTGAATGAAAGTTGAAAAGACGTCATATATACAGTGCAATGAAAAAGTATTTTCCCCCTTTCTAATTTTCTCTACTTTTGCATATTTGTGATACTGCATGTTATTAGATCTTTAACCAAAACCTAATATTAGATAAAGGGAACATAAGTGAACAAATAACACAACAATTACATATTTATTTCATAAACAAAGTTATGCAACACCCAATTCCCCTGTGTGAAAAAGTAATTTCCCCCTTACACTCAGTAACTGGTTGTGCCACCTTTAGCTGCAATGACCCCAACCAAATGCTTCCTGTAGTTGTTGATCAGTCTCTCACGTCGCTGTGGAGGAATTTTGGCCCACTCTTCCATGCAGAACTGCTTTAACTCAGTGACGTGTGGGTTTTCAAGCATGAACTGCTCGTTTCAAGTCCTGCCACAACATCTCAATTGGGATTAGGTCTGGACTTTGACTAGGCCATTCCAAAACTTCCAATTTGTTGCTTTTTAGCAATTTTCATGTAGACTTGATTGTGTGTTTTGGATCATTGTCTTGCTGCATGACCCAGCTGCGCTTCAGCTTCAGCTCACAGACGGATGGTCTGACATTCTCCTGTAGAATTCTCTGATACAGAGCAGAATTCATGGTTCCTTCTATTAAGGCAAGTCGTCCAGGTCCTGAGGCAGCAAAGCATCCCCAAACCATCACACCACCACCACCATGCTTGACCTTTGGTATGATGTTCTTACTGTGGAATGCAGTGTTTGGTTTTCGCCAGGCATAATGGGACCCATCTCGTCCAAAAAGTTGACTCAAGTTTGTCAAAAAGCACCTGGATGATCATCAAGACTCTTGGAAGAACGTTCAATGGACAGATGATTCAAAAGTATAACTTTTTGGACGACATGGCGTCATGACAATTTAGCCTAAGGGATAAAACTCTTGGCCCGCAGTTGTGAGTAGCCTGATTGTCCATTCCATATTGTCCATTTTACTTCGACCTGTCCTGTTTTTAGGATATGTTGTTTGTTAACATGTCAGCGCATTTTTTATTTGATTGGGCGCCATTTATGTTAGGCTATTTGATCGGAGAAACCTGCATGATGTAAAAGGTTTCCATCTCATTACTTTGTCATACATTTTATCTCCAGCCTGTAGGCGATAGAAAAGGCCACATACTCTTTCTACCGTAGGCTATATCTGTTACATGACTTATGTTAGATGATTTCTTTGACGGAATGTTGGTGGAGCGCCGCATCAATGCGTCTCTCCAAAAGCACACCTTGCCTCCCTGCATTTGACAAAGTGGGCACTGCTTATCACAGGGATGCATCAGCGCTCACATAAAAAAATTAAAAAAATTATGCCACTGGTTGGCATATGTCATTGTTTTTGGGCAGAATTATGTCACGTTTTATGTGTTGTTGGAGGTGAGTCTTGGTCAGTTTACCTCAGAAAATGCCGCACTCGTCAATCTGCCGCCATAGGCGGCCACCTAATCCTGCCTAATGAGCGGGCCGGCCCTACTAACCTTAACCCCTAACTCTTCGATCACACTGACAACTTCATTGCATTTTGGTACACCAGAAGTAGATTAATTTCCAATGGAACGCTGCGTTTGCCTTGCAGCATTGCGTTGCAGAGGCTGTTGCAGTGCATTCTGTGTGGTGCATAAAAATGATTTATCGAACATATGCGTCAAACTGTATGCCTAGACGGCTTGACAGATATGGTAGCAGAATGTGAATGTTGAACTTTTGTTCCATACATATACAGATGATGATGATGCATACTATTTTGCACAATAACCCTATCGCTGTGATCAAGGCGTAAACCCTTGAGCTAACTAACACTAGCGTTAGCCACCTAGCTAACGTTAGCCACAACAAATTGGAATTCGTAACATGTCATAAGTTTAGCAAATGCGTAACATATTGTATTTTTTCAAATTCGTAACATATTGTATGAATTGCATTTCAGAACATATTGTACGAATTGCAATTCGTAACATATCATACGAAATGGATGATGGGGACGTCCACAAATTAATACATATTGGGCGGCAGGTAGCTTAGTGGTTAAGAGCGTTGTGCCAGTAACCGAAAGGTCGCTGGTTCTAATCCCCGAGCCGACTAGGTGAAAAATCTGTCGATGTGCCCTTGAGCAAGGCACTTAACCCTAATTGCTCCTGTAAGTCGCTCTGGATAAGAGCGTCTGCTAAATGACCAATTATATTAATACATAACATATCATACTAAATGGTGTTTCTGATTTACATATAGAATAATTTTAAATTCTATGAGACCACGTTGAAGACTGAAGCCCACAGAAATACATACTTTTGGAAACAATATGCTTACTTTTTGCACCATTAGGCTGAACCAATGTCTCGTGGAAAGCCAGATTCTGGTTCACGTTAGGCTACAATGAAAAGTCGATCTAAAATGCAAGTACGCCTATTCTGCTACTAAATTTCCCAGAGTAACTCAACTAGGCCTAAAGTAGACTAAAGGTATTTTTCTACCTATACATGTCAGCGCCTGTTGCATGCCAACTCCCACCCTCTCTCACCTAGAATTTCTAGGCTAGAAGGTTCTTTTCAGCAAAGCTATAATAACATCATTAGCCAATTTCAACTTACCAGGCGCGCCACAGTCTGCGCAAGCGTCGTTCCCTGGTTTTTGAATGATCTCCTTCAAGAGACGAGAAACCCTCTCGTTCCCAGGCATTTCAAATCCTTTAAATCGGTCCTAAACCGTTTCTGAGAGAAGACAACCGACAAATCACAGCATAAAAGTGTCTCTTCGGGTGGGTCCTCGGCTCCCTACACACGCAGGTAGTAGCCTAGACACGAGAGGATGAGGTATGCCAGACTCAACTGAAAGAAGAAGAAAAATAAACGTCCACTCAAATCGATTCTTCAGTTCCGTGAAAAACGTGCATGGTTCTCACCGCCCAACTTTAGTTTTACCGCAAACTCCCTGGCCTTGATGAAAAGGATTTGTCACAACTTGTTGCTAGCTAAGCCTCTCTCTCCGACACCTTTCCGAGAGGGTGTGTGTGAGGGGAGGGAGTCTAACCTACACTCGGAAGTGAACTGCTGGTTTTGTTCAGACTTGCTGTTCCGCATAATTGTATGGTGCTCAGTCAAATAACAAAACTGCTCAGTTCTCTGAAGGTTATAGTACCACATTTCCCCGCCAGATGGTAGCAGCCCATCAGCAAGAAGTCAGAGCGTAGCTTTGTAGCGCTCCAAGGAAAGTGTGTTGAGTGTGTGTGAATGTGGATGTGTTGTCATTTTAAGTCGCTGTTTCGTATTTAGTGTAGGCTATTACAGGACCTTGTACTCTCTATTGTTCATCTGACCTGTCCTTGCCCCCTATCTATCGATCTACAAGTGTGGTCAGAAGGTGTGTGGGGGGGTGGCTCTCCATGGTGCTGAATCGGGCGTGATGGAATCCCAGGTCGACAGCGTTGGAGAAGCTACTCTGAAAATATAGTTTACCAGGATACCAAATAGGCTACTTCCCGCTAGAAAAAGTTAAGATGCACTAAATCTACCCTTAAGAAAAATATGGTTTACTTAACTTAAGTTACTTTGAAAAAGTAGTTTCCTACATCCGAACTACTTCTTGAAAAATTGTCATATTTAAATCTGAAATGTCAGACTACAAATTGCAAGAACAGATCACTTTGGGGTCAAATGTTAACATAATAGTCTATTAGGCAGGTCTTATGCTGAAAAAGAAACAACATTATTGCATACTTCACCCATATTTTATTTTAGGAAAAAAAGTAGTGTGTAGTTCCAGTAGTTAGCTACACCGCTACATGGCAAAAAAAAGTAATTGTAAACTGAATGCTGATTGGCTAACAGTACCAGGGGTATGACAAAACATTTATTTTTTACTGCTCTAATTATGTTGGTAACCAGTTTGTCATAGCAATAAGGCACCTTGGGGGTTAGTGGTATATTGCCAATATCAGGCTTGTGTCATGCATAAGAACAGCCCTTAGCTGTGGTATCTTGGCCATATACCACACCCCTTGGGCCGTATTGCTTAATTAACTACTGAAAACACCTTCTTACATTTGAATTTACTTCATTTACCACCAAGCTACTACAAAATGTAGTTACTAGTTGAACTACATGTAGTTAACTTCTCCCCGACTCTGCAGGCCTAGAGCCACTGCCCACATAGTCCAATCGCCCCACCCATCCCAATGTATTTTCATGCACAATTGTTGTGAGGGACAGTCAATATATTGGGTATATTATAAGACATCAAAAAATACATTCGATTAGACATGATTATGTTGGCCTACAACCTTATTCCTTTATTGGGATAGAAAGTAAATAGTTCAATCTAGCCTATTACTTTTGTTCAATCTGCCCCATTCGCCAAAGCACATTACAGCACAATACGCTACAAACGTTTTTTTTTTCGCTATACAGAGCCACTGGATTAACTAATGGTTCTTTCAAGTGCCCTAGTGAAAAAACGACAGTTGTTTTGCAACATTTGTTATCATTGAGCAGGAGGCGTCGTGGCAGTAAGTGAGACAAATGGGTTTTATTTAACGTGTAGACGAGCAAACCGGGCTTGACGTGACTTTGTTCTACCACACCGGATTTCCACGGCGACAGCGAAGGCTAATGTTCACCACGGTCCATTACCGAAAGCTCATTTGTCAACAACGGGACCGAGTATAGGCTAGCGTTTTATCTTCGAGCCGCTGCCGCCCTCTGGAATGTAGAATGGAATTAGATTTTAGATTCAGACCCTTAACGATCCTTCTTACAGTTTTGGAATGGGTGGCCGGTAATAAACTGGTCCTGAAAATCTCTAAAACTAAGAGCATTGTATTAGGTACAAATCATTCCCTAAGTTCTAGACCTCAGCTGAATCTTGTCATGAATGGTGTGGCTGTTGAACAAGTTGAGGAGACTAAAGTACTTGGTGTTACCTGATTGTAAACCGTCATGGTCAAAACATATAGATGCAATGGTTGTAAAGATGGGGAAAGGTCTGTCCTAAATAAAGAGATGCTCTGCTTTTTTGACACCACACTCCACAAAGCAAGTCCTGCAGGCTCTAGTTTGATCTTATCGTGATAATTGTCCAATCATATGGTCATGTGCTGCAAAGAAATACCTAGTTAAGCTGCAGCGGGCCCAGAACAGAGTGGTATGTCTTGCTCTTTACTGTTAAGCTGCAGCGGGCCCAGAACAGAGCGGTATGTCTTGCTCTTTACTGTTAAGCTGCAGCGGGCCCAGAACAGAGCGGTATGTCTTGCTCTTTACTGTTAAGCTGCAGCGGGCCCAGAACAGAGCGGTATGTCTTGCTCTTTACTGTTAAGCTGCAGCGGGCCCAGAACAGAGCAGTATGTCTTGCTCTTTACTGTTAAGCTGCAGCGGGCCCAGAACAGAGCGGTATGTCTTGCTCTTTACTGTTAAGCTGCAGCGGGCCCAGAACAGAGCGGTATGTCTTGCTCTTTACTGTTAAGCTGCAGCGGGCCCAGAACAGAGCGGTATGTCTTGCTCTTTACTGTTAAGCTGCAGCGGGCCCAGAACAGAGCGGTATGTCTTGCTCTTTACTGTAATCTGAGGGCTGATATTAATACTATGCATGCCAGTCTCTCTTGGCTAAGAGTTGAGGAAACAATAATGTGTTGGAAATTCCAAATTGTTTGCATAGTCAACTTACACACAGCACTGACACACACACTTACCCCACCAGACATGCCCCCCAGTGGCGACCAGTCATTCAGGGCAGGTGGGGGGGGGAGATTAATACAAAATAATAATAATATTTTTTGGGGGGGCTTGCCTGTTTTTTTATGTTATTTTGCCATTAATACATGTCACATATCAGTTTGCAAACAATGTAAAAAAATATATATACAGTGGGGAGAACAAGTATTTGATACACTGCCGAGTTTGCAGGTTTTCCTACTTACAAAGCATGTAGAGGTCTGTAATTTTTATCATAGGTACACTCCAGAAAATCACATTGTATGATTTTTAAGTAATTAATTTGCATTTTATTGCAAGACATAAGTATTTGATACATCAGACCGCCGCGCCACCTTCCTGTTCAAGTGAACACATCACAACAAGGTGGGTCAAAAAATGTCTTATATGCTGCTGCATAAATGATGTAATATGCCAGGGAGATATGTATACTGTAGCTAACAAAGTAATACTAAGTGTTAATACTAAGCCTCACCCTAATAATTTGGTCCCTTTCCCCCTCAGAACATAGCTTACTGTTCTGACTCGGTGGTGCACATGTACCCTATAGGCTGTTTTTGAGAAATGTAATCATTTAATATTGTAAGAGCTTTCATTGTCTGCTTATATGCCCCCTTTATTTATCCTACGGTTCTGACTTGGTGTACAGGGAGAACACTGTAAGAACGGCCCATGTTCTGAATTATATAGCTGTACATTTCAAAAGTGCTGAACAAATAGTTATATTGACGAGTCCGTCCTGGCTCGCTCATTAATGTCTTAATCGAAATTACGGATTGCCTCTTATCGCTTGTCGTCCCCTTATGCCATAGTTTGTACATCTCAATTGTCAGTAGAAACCACATTTGTTTAAGCAAGTCAGCCATATCAGCTATGTTTTTTTTAAAGGCAGTAAATGAGGCTGAATGAACTATTTCGCTGCCAGACAAGGCTCCACTGATAGCCAGGTGTAGCAGTGGTAAGGTGTTCTGACTGCTGTTGGGACTCTGCTGTTGGGACAGCTTTATGTAGGCCCTAACAGTTTATTGGCACCGTTTGTCACCGTTATAGTGCAATTAATGTATTGTTTAGTGATGTGTTGTGGCTTTGCTGGCATATATCCCACTTGTTTTTTTTTGCCCCACCAAGATTTACATGCTAAAATCGCCACCGATGCCACTAGGGTTTTTTCACAGTCCCCAGGTCCAAAGCAAATTCAAGGATTACACAGAGCCATGAGTTCATGGAACTCCCTTCCATCTTATATAGCGCAAGTGAACAGCAAACCTGGTTTCAAAAAACAAATAAAGCAACACCTCACGGCACAACGCATCTCCCCCATGTGACCTACTTGTAGTGTGTATGTACTGACATGTACAGTGCATTCGGAAAGTATTCAGACCCCTTGACTTTTTCCACATTTTGTTATGTTACAGCTTTATTCTCAAAATAATTAAATTGTTTTTTTCCCCTCATCAATCTACACACAATACCCCATAATGACAAAGCAAAAATTGTTTTTTATAAATGTTTGATAATTTATTACAAATAAAAACTGAAAATATCACATTTACAGAAGTATTCAGACCCTTTACTCAGTACTTTGTTGAAGCACCTTTGGCAGCAATTACAGCCTTGAGTCTTCTTGGGTATGACGCTACAAGCTTGGCAAACCTGTATTTGGGGAGTTTCTCCCATTGTTCTCTGCATATCCTCTCAAGCTCTGTCAGGTTGGATGGGGAGCGTTGCTGCACAGCTATTTTCAGGTCTCTCCAGAGATGTTCGATCGGTTTCAAGTCCAGGCTCTGGCTGGGCCACTCAAGGACATTCAGAGACTTGTCCCAAAGCCACTCCTGTGTTGTCTTGGCTGTGTTCTTAGGGTAGTTGTCCTGTTGGAAGGTGAACCTTTGCCCAGGTCCTGAGCGCTCTGGAGCAGGTTTTCATCAAGGATGTCTCTGTACTTTGCTCCGTTCATCTTTCCCTCGATCCTGACTA